AAAGATCGCTTGCTGTTGTTCCTAAGGAAATTGAAATATCATTGCAATGAAAATAGTTGCTGAAGGGCTTGATGAGAAAATTGTTTCTGAAGAGTTTCATAGTTAGTTTCTGAAGTGTTTTGTATAATGTTGAAGATAAAATTGTTTCTGGAAAATTTGAAAAATATTAAATTCTATAAAAATTTATAATACTCAATACAACTCTGTAGAACTCACTCTGCTTGAAATATAGTTGTCGAATATGACATTGTTCCACAAAAGTTTTACAGTTATTATATTTACAGTTGCTGACGAACAAACTCGCTTTAACAAACTCGATAAATCCTATAGAACTCTGTATAACTATGAATTTCTATAAAATGTACAATTACATGAACCCTGTAAAGCCCCTAAGGGTTAGGGTAAAACACTGAAGCTGTAAAACTCAATTTTACAGTGTATCATAAACTTATACAATGTTTTACAGTGTTTTATCGAGTTTTGAAGAGTTTTATAAAGTTTAGCAATTTTTACTTGAAATTATAATGTTTTTTAATATTTTGTTACCAGAATTATATCTTATTTTTAGATATCAGAATTTCTAGCGCTCTTATGTAAGTGTCTTAGCATTCAACTTTGTCAATGGCTGATCGTCCTTTCGTACTTACAGTTTTTTTGTTTGAAACTGATTTATCTATTTGAAAAATGAATTTAATCTGTAAAAAGTTTGAGATGTTGCTGAGAAGAAAATTGTTTCTGAAAGTTTCGAAAGATACTTGCTGAGTTTGCCATAGTCTCTAAAGTATTTGGAATATCAACGTGTCGAAATTCAGCCTCTGTGTCTATTTAAAGATTTTCACAAATTTAAAGCGTTGAACTGTAGAGCGTGGCGTGATTTTTTAGTGAACTACAATTTGTAAACACGTTTTAAAGAAGGATTGTCAAAAAATGTATACTTCCTACAAACTAACAGCATTATGGCGTGATTTTTCGTTTCAAACCAAACAGCGTTAGAAGGAGGTCTTAAAATATGTATTCATAGTTTTTCATTATTTAATTAATGACTTGGCATATACGCTGATGAGAGTGTATGGAAAGAAGCCTATAAATACAGACTGAAAAGTTTTAGTTTTAGTCGTTTATGATTTTGTTTTAAGTTTAGTTTAAATTTAGTTTTTAATTTAATATTAATTTAATTTATTATAATAATTTTATTGTTAAATTTAATATAGAAACAGTCGGTTGCGGTACTAAGTTGCGCTTGTTAAGTTTTAAATTTAAGCTTTAATAGAGTCTTATGGAGTTTCATAAGGTTAGTGAAGTGTTTGATAGATAGTTGCTGAAGAATGTGCCATTGTTTCGGAAAAGAAGTAGTTTTGTTTTGATGAGTTTGAAATATAATTATCGAATATGACATTGTTCTTAATAGTTTGATATTTATTTTTATAAACTTATGCAATGTTTTACAGTGTTTTATCGAGTTTTGAAGAGTTTTATAAGGTTTAGCAATTTTTACATGAAATTGTAATGTTTTTTAATATTTTGTTACCAGAATTATATCTTATTTTTAGATATCAGAATTTTTAGCGTTCTTATGTAAGTCTCTTAACATGCAACTTTGTCAATGGCTGATCGTCCTTTCGTAATATATCTACTGTTAGCATTAAGTCATTTCCTCAAACGATTTTGTAACGCATGGCCCATTATATTTTAATAGTTTTTTTAATGTTTTTTAATTAGTAAGGTCACAATCATCATCATCGATATCGCAATCAATGGAATCAAATTAATAATTTTTCAAAATTTATAAAGTATCTTAATTTATTTTATGATACTATCCTGTTCATTTCTTAATTTCTGTTTGATTCTGTTTTATAGAATTAATTTTTGTTTGATGTCGGCTAATATTTGGTAAAATTTTTTTTTTAGGAATCATTTGAAAACAATTTTTTACTATAGTCAAAATAATTTGTTTACAGGTGTTGAAGCTGAAAATTTGCACTACGTATTTTAACTTTCACATCAAGTCATACATTTTTACGATTTATTTGAATTAACAACAATTTATATTTTATAGTCACAAGAAATCGTTCGTTACCTTATGGAAGTTAATGTATTGTTTAAGTATTTTTTTTACTGTTTGTTAATGTGATTATTTCAAGTTGTTATAGATAGTTTATTATTAAAGCAATTATAAATTATTTTCATGTTTTAGTTTATATTTGTGTTCATATTCATCTTATATGTTCACGCTCGTCTTCAAATGAAACGATGACGATTCTGACAAAATAAGTGTCTGCTTTCAGTGATTCTATACTCTATCCTCTAAGTAAAGCTTTTAACTCTGCTGCTCGTCTAGTTGCTCGTGCCCCTTTCTTTTCTCATATATCTCCATATCTTGTTCTCCTGCACTGGCTACCTTTAAAATATAGAATAATTTATAAAATTTGCACGTTTATGTATAAGTCTCAATCTAAATTATTTTCTAAGTATTTATTAGATAAATTAATTGAACCTAAATGCCCCTGTTTACGATCGTCTTTTTGTTTTCGCTTCTTCTTAACTCGTGCTAAACACTTGCCAAATCTGCTTTTGCTTTTTTCTGGCCTTTTTCTCTGGAACTCTCTACCTACATCTCTGACTACTCCATCACTTACAAAGTTCAGATCGGATCTCAAGACCCATCTGTTTTCAAAATTCATTGAAGAGCGCTGTTGAACATTGCGGAAATAGCGCTTTACAAGGTAATTGATTGATTGATTGATGATAATCATATATGTAATTTGAAATTTAAACCACATTGGAATAATAGAAAAATTTAAACGCCAGTATGCTATTTGTATGCTACTACAAAAATTGTTACTACTGCTAAAATTACTATTATGGTTTATTGTATAAGATTTTAAATAAAACTATTAAGGCGCTATAAGTCGTACGCAAAAAATTATGCTTTTTTACGGAGACGTGTACACGTTCGGCATGCCAGCCACATTCCATTGGCATGCCGGCATACATTTTAGGTATTAACTATAATACTACTAAAAAAATATTACTACAACTATTAGTATTACTACTACTACGGCTGCTAAAATTTATCAAGCGAAAAGAAACGCGTACGAGCTACTACTACTACTGCACAACTTGACTGGTGTTCTCTTTCGTTGAGAGATTTTTAACGTGGTTTTTTAACAATCTCTTTTGACAAAACGTGCACATGTATGCCAACCAGTATTAACATACATCTTAGGTATGTATTACTGCAATACTAAAAAATTGCTACTACTACTACTGCTTCTGCTGATATTACTGCTACCTGTATCATAACTGCTACCATTACTACTGCTGCTACTTCTGATTTATTTTATTGAAATGATATAGTTTGACAGTACGTACGAACGTATAAATTTCAACAATTACAGACGCGCACACACTCCTTTATATCATTCACTGGAATTGACATGTTTATGTTGCTACCTAATATTTGTAATTTTACATTCAATTAGATATGTAGGGATCAATCATTTATTTATTGACTATCTTATATAAATTATTATTAAAGATTATTGCAATTTTCAATGTTTCTTAGTCTATGTTAATTTTTGTTTCTTTGCTTCTCTCTCATCGATCTTCTTTACTTTTTCCCGGGAGCTTGTAAACGAGACGGTCCGAGATTCACCTTAGAATAAAGTTAATAGCAGAACTAGCAGATATCTAAATTAATGTGAATTATATATCTAAATTAATTTGACATACGTACATAGATGCATTTGATTAATTAACAATATTAATCAGTTTTTAATTACTGATTAACAATAAATAAAAGCAACAAAAGAAAACAGTGCACGAATATGTACGGCCAGTACATGTATGTACATGTAACAAACTGTTAGTAACGCGCTTCTGTAGTATGAATAATAATAATAGTACAACAGTATTTTTTAGGATTGCAATATTTATTATTATTACTTTAAATGTTTAATGGCTTTCTGGTTGGCAAGCCGAACGTGTACAATTGCGTAGTAGTTGAAACTACAAATTGTAGTTACAACTACAAATAGTGAACTGAACACGTTTTATTAAAAGGATGGTCACAGATTTTCTACCTCTGACAGAAAAATCACGGCACGTGATATTATTTACAATTATTTATTTATCTGACAATTAACAAACTTCATAAATTATAATCCGAATAGAGATAATCAATTGATCACAAATTGCTGTTGCCGTTCAGAATTGTTGTAATATAGTGGTTCTACCCTATTCAACATCTGTGTGCATTTAAGGAATTTGACAAATTTGAAGCGTTGGACTGTAGAGCGTGGCGTGATTTTTTTAGTGAACTACAATTAGTAAACACGTTTTAAAGAAGGATTGTCAACAATTTTTTACTTCCTACAAACTTAACAGCACTATGGCGTGATTTATACTTTCGAACCAATCAGCGTTAAAAGGAGGTCTTAAAATATGTATTCATAGTTTTTCATTATTTAATTAATGACTTGGAATATACGCTGATAAGAATGTATGGAAAGAAGCATATAAATACCGACTGAAAAGCTCAAGTTTTAGTCGTTTATGATTTTGTTCTAAGTCGTTTAGACTTAGTTTTTATTTAATTTTAATATTAATTTAATTTTTTTTATAATAATTAAAATTAATAAAGGAACATTCGGTTGCTGTATTAAGTTGCGTTTGATAAGTTTTAAATAAATCGTTAAAGATAGTTAAGACAAGTGTTCTTTTGTGCGCATATTTTCCTGCAGTGAATAGTCTGACGATTTGGAAGATGATCGGCACAAAATTAAGGTAAGTATTCTTTTATTAGCGTTAATATTGGTTTCGCTGTTTTCTTTTTTCTGCTTGAAGTTTTTATAAATAATTTATTAATAGAGCAATTAAAAATTATTTTCAGAGCATGTTATCCGAGCATGTTAATGGTCTGATGGCTTGGAGGGTGATCATCGGTAGATTGCTAAGACGAGTTTTTTTTTGAGCGCATGTTGTCCTGCAGTGAATATTTTGACGGTATTGAAGATGATCAGTATAAATCTAAGATAAGTATTCTTTTATTAGCGTTAATATTGGTTTCGTTGTTTTTTCTTTTCTGCTTCTATTCTGCTTATCTTAAATTATTTTTAGGTATTCTATTTGTATTTTGGTTCTGTTGTAATTATTTTTTGTGGTTTTTTTAGCGATAGGTTTTGTGAGGTGTTGTGGTAGAAAGCTCTTGGCGACTGCTCGTGCATACATACACACATACATTGTTTGTGTGGCAGTATTGTTTCTTCTGTTTTACTCCTTCTTTTCTTTCTACATAAGAATTAGCTAAATTAATTGTACATAGGTAGGCTGAGACATATGATAATTTATTACATAGGTAGTCTAAGGCATAAGGTAATTTATTATATAGGTAGGCTAATGCATAAGGTAATTTATTAAATAGGTAGGCTAAGGCATAAGGTAATTTATCACATAGGTAGGAAGGGACTTTTGTCTTCTCACTCTTCTCGGTATGTTTTTTGTTGTGTTTCGTTTGTCTTGTTTTACATCATACACTCTACAGGTATGCCGTGCGGCTTGGTGTTGGTGGGATTGGTACTGGTTCAACTAATTTTTTTACTTTTTTTCTACACTAATTGTTATTAATTCATGTGGTTATAAATAATTTATTAATAAAGCAATAAAAAATTATTTTCAGAGTATGATGATCTACAGTTATGGTCTGATGGCTTGGAGTATCATCGTCAGAAGATTAACACGAGTGTTTTTTTGAGCAAATGTTGTCCTGCAGTGAATAGTTTGACGGTTTGAAAGATGAACGGCACCGAATTAAGATAAGTATTTTTTGTTAGCCTTTATATTAGTTTTGCAGTTTTCTTCTTTTCTTGTTATCTTTAAATATTTTTGATTGTTTTATTTGTATTTTTGTTCTGTTGTAGTTAATTTTCGGTGGTTTTTTTAACAGGAAGTTCTGTGACGGGGTGTTGTAGAAAGCTCTTGGCGGATGCTCGTGCGTACGTACACGCATACAATGTTGGTTTGTATTGCAGTATTTTTTCTGTTTTTATTCTGTTTCTTTCTACGTGAGGTAGGCTGAGGCATAAGGTAATTTATTACATAGGTAGGCTAAGGCGTAAGATAATTTATGTAGGTAGGGACTTTTGTTTTCTCACATTTGTTGGTTTGTTTTCGTTTCGTTAGGGAAATTGGTACTGGTTCAAGTCTTTTTTTTACTTTTTGTGTTGTTTTATCTTACTACGCTTAATGTTAATATTTGAAGTTGTTATAAATAATTTATTAATAAGGCTATTAAAAATTATTTTCAGAGCATGTCGTTCGACAGTTAATGGTCTGATGGCTTGGTGGGGTATCGTCGGAAGATTATTAAGACGAATGTTCTTTGGAGGTCATGTTGTCCTGCAGTGAATAGTATGACATGTTGACATGTTGGAAGATGATCGGCACAAAATTAAGATAAGTATTCTTCTGTTAGCGTTAATATTGGTTTTGCTGTTTTCTTCTTTTCTGCTTATTTTAAATTATTTTAAATTATTTTAAATTATTTTTAGTTATTTTGATTGTGTTTTGTTCTGCTGTAATTATCTTTTGTGGTTTTTCTAGCGGTGGGTTTTGTGACGTAGTGTGGTAGAAAGCTCTTGGCGACTGTCCTTGCATACATACACACATACATTGTTTGCGTGGCAGTATTGTTTCTTCTGTTTTACTCCTTTTCTTTCTACATAAAAATTAGCTAAATTAATTGTACATAGGTAGGCTGAGACATATGATAATTTATTACATAGGTAGGCTAAGGCATAAGGTAATTTCTTACATAAGTAGGCTAAGGCATAAGGTAATTTATTATATAGGTAGGCTAAGGCATAAGGTAATTTATCACATAGGTAGGAAGGGACTTTTGTCTTCTCACTCTTCTCGGTGTGTATTTTGTTGTGTCGTTTGTCTTGTTTTGCATCATACACTCTACAGGTATGCGGCTTGGTATTGGTGAGATTGGTATAATTTAAGTAGTTTTTTACTTGTTACTACACTTAATGTGATTAATTCATGTGGTTATAACTAATTTTTTTAAATGAGCAATGAAAAATTATTTTCAGAGCATAATGTCCTACATCTACGGTCTGATGGCTTGGAGTATCATCGTCAGAAGATGTGCTCAAAGATTTTTTGGGCGCATTTTGTCAGTGATGCGTTGTCAAGATGATCGGCACAAAATTAAGATAAGTATTTTTCTGTTATCGTTAATATTGGTTTCGCTGTTTTCTTCTTTTCTGCTTCTTTTCTGCTTATTTTTAAATATTTTTATTCATTTTATTTGTGTTTTGTTCCGCTGTAATTATTATTTGTGGTTTTTCTAGCGGTGGGTTTTGTGACGTGGTGTGGTAGGCTGCTGCTCTTGCATACATACACACATACATTGTTTGTGTGGCAGTATTGTTTCTTCTGTTTTACTCCTTTTCTTTCTACATAAGAATTAGCTAAATTAATTGTACATAGGTAGGCTGAGACATATGATAATTTATTACATAGGTAGGCTAAGGCATTAAGTAATTTGTTACTTAGGTAGGCTAATGCATAAGGTAGGCTAAGGCATTTTATATAGGTAGGCTAAGGCATAAGGTAATTTATTACATAGGTAGGAAGGTACTTTTGTCTTCTCACTCTTC